CATCATATCCATCAGTAATAGTAACTTTTTATGATTTTGTTCTTATGTTATATGATGTTTTATGGTATTTCACTTTTTCCTGTAAAAGAAATCTGTACTTCTCGTTTTCTGCATACGACCATATCGATTTATTCTGATGTAATACAAAATATGTACCAAATATTATATTATATTTTATATCCCTCGTGATTTGTCTTAATTTTTCACTTAAATATATCATAGATATCTTAGTAGTTTTATTAGACGAATGTGATTCAGAGGTTTTAGTTGATATGTTTTTAAAAGTCCAAAAATAAATTTCTTTGTAACATTGAATTTCTTCTCGTAATTCTGGCCAATCTACGAACCCCGTATCATGTTTTAACACTATCGACGATGAATTTCCAGTGAATTTAGATAAAATTAATTCTCGATTACATACAGCTGTAGATAAAACATTTGTTAAAATAATCATTATATTAAACAGACTTTTAAAAAATCTTCTCTTTTCTCGGGTTTTTGTAAAAAATAAATCAATTCCCACATCCGATCGTGTGGTTTGTAGTTTAAGTTTATTATTAATGTCAATATTGATTTTTTTGCCAAATACCGATACGATGATATTAATTTTTCCACCATTTCAAATATTTCTTCATCAAACAAATTATAATCTAAAATTGCGTGTAAATGATCCAAATGAAGTTTGGCGAAGTACGCGTATGTACAATGAAGATCTTCCAGTTTATTACGCATTTTTTCGTAAAGATGTGCCTTAATTCGTTCCTCGTCATTATTTAACAACTTTGGAATTGTGAAAGTTTGTTTGTTTGAAATTTCACAATCAGATTCATTAAGCGATCTCAACGTTTTGATATTACCCGTGAAACTTACCAAATTAATTAGCGCATTTGTTTCCGGTCCATACTGTGCAGATTGAGATTTTCTACTAATAAATAATACTAACACTATGATTTGAAATATAATCATACGAAGGATAATTTCTATAAAACATAAACACATTTTTCTAAGACATTTTTTTTTATGTGTTTTGTAATATTTAGAAATCTTGAATTATTAAAATTAAGTGAACAATATTTTTGTAAGTATCTAAACTGAAATAATGTAAACCGTGTATTTTATACGCTATTTTTATAATGTGACTAAATGCATGTAGGTATATGTCAATTTTCGTATTAAATGGGCACTTAATAAGGGCCAAGCATTTAAAAAAGAGCAGAGGAGGAAGGTAAAATTTATTACAAGATACATAATTCAAATATCTAAAATATACTAACATTATTGTCCCCAATGTTTTTGACATTTTATGTACATTAATGTCATTACCGTTTTTATTTATTAGTAGCTACAAATGAAGTATACAAATACATCATAGGTACATATCAACAATTTGTATTAGATTTGTTTTTTTAACCTAAAAATACGAACTAGAGACGGATTAAATGAATTTAAATGTTTCTTTAATTTTTTCGGAACAAAGCCTAAAAACATAAAATTTAGTAAACAACAATAACGAAAAATAAAAAAAAATTTTAAAAATTCAACTAGGTATAGTTGTTTTTATAAAATTTGATCTCGGTGGTAGCGCGGTCGGTGAACATTTTGACGCAGGGGCTCTATAACAAGTGTCAAACAAAGCGCGGAAAATTTAAATTAATTACTTATTTGTTAACCTGTATCATTAATTTTATATCAACCAGTTTTCTATTGGCCAATATTAGAACCACTGTGTTTCATAAATCGCGTCACCAGTAGCGCTACCGTCGAGGGTCACTTTTCATGAAAATAACTAAAAAAACTGATATTACAATAAAAACTAACAGTACATGTTACGATAATTGGATAGGCCCCGAATGCCATGGATGACTAAAAATAAACAATGTACTTCTATAGACTAGATGTAGGACTTTATGCAGGACTCAAAGTATTACAACGGGAACAGCTGGCAATAGAAATATACTGAACTACTGATGATAATGTTAAATATATAGGTACCTCAATAGACTGCAATTTATAATTCAAAAATGAGTTTTAACTTATGAATTTATTTACATAATATTAGGGAACATGGAAGAGACACGTACTTCAGAAAAAATAGATCCTGTGGCCACAATTCGAATCTTACGGAGTTAAAACTCCAAAGACTTTCTGCCATCAATTTCGCTCTGATTTATAATGATAGCACTTCTTCTGAAAGTAAATCTGAATGGAAAGGTACTTTANTTTTTTTTAAAATGAAATTGTTAGAATTTATTTATCAGACGACCGTGTTAATGATATTCATCAGCAAACAAGCTCAATCTACACAATATGTGCCGGAAACAGAGTTTCTAATTAATTTGGTAAGTTACGTTGACAATATAAAAACTTTGGAATCCTTTAGTAGATTTAATCCTGAAAATTCAAATAAACAACCTTCCACAGTCATAGAGTCCGTAATCAAACATAAGAACAAAATGAACAAATATCTTCACAATGCAATAAATGACAAAATGAACGATCTTGATTGTACATATGCGCACTACGCCAAATTTCATTTGGACATTATACACATGATTTTAGATCTCGGTTTGTTCTCTGCATTAAAGTTTGAAGTAGTGGAAAAACTAAAATCGTTGTATTTAAATGTAGCGATGAGAGCGTTTTTTACCTTCTTCAACTTCAACTTTGAACCACCCGAATGGATGTGGACATTTATCAATTTTTTGGAAACAGAATATTACTCGAAAAAATTTCATAAGAGATTGTCTGACATAATGATTATTTTAACACAAGTTACAACTAGAACCGTATGTAGTCGGACTAAAATATCATGGTTTAGATTTTTATATGACTCTTCGCTGATGCCGTCAAAACGTAATTTTAAAGCAATGGATTTGAAAGAATTACACGAGGAAATATTATATTTAAATAGGCTTTATATTTGGTGTTCCACTAATAATTCCAGCCATCGTGTAAACCATCATGATACGGAAATTTTTTTGACTCCAGAGAAGATTCAAAATGATACTATTAAAATGTCTAAAATCTATGTAATACAAAGTTTAAGACAAATAACGATGGATATAAGCTATAATCTAATATTGGGAATAAATTTTGTACTGCAACGAAATAAATCGATATTATCCTACGTAAAGAAAGTAGAATTTAGTGTTCTCTTAGGAAATAAAAATACGAAAAAAAAAAATTTCAAATTCCGCAATACATTCTCATTAAGAATTCCAATAGGGTTGGAATTCTACTCTGATGAATTTCTAGTTACACACAAATTTATATCTCAACGTTTTTCACTATTAAACATTGATTTAAATTTTTATGATATGGATAAGAAAAAAATAAGGAGTAAATTAGTAAATAAAGTATATATATCATCATATCCAAACTATTACAGAGAGTTGTTTGGAATGTTTAACAAAATTTCAAATACGATAATAAACGATGTAGAATGTGT